ATATATATATATTACAAATATCCTATTTGAAAACTACAAGAATAACAATTTGTGTAAACATAATTTTTCTTTCAAGAATTCTCTTATGCTCCTTATCAAATACTCGCTACAAATCCCTCCCTTCCTGCATGCTTGGACAAATTCCCTCAATATCATTAGTTTACAAATTTTACTGCAATACTAAACTTGATCTTTCTATAATGGCAAATGCAAATAAAAATAAATGTTCCATCTTTGCTACTTTCCTTTTGGAGATCCACTACAAACTTGAACGTCGTTCAGTTTCGATTCAGCCTCTATTTCCAAAGAATTCGGTCCACTCCAATGACGTTCGCGTCCTCCATACACACGCAACTACATCCCCTAATTGTACATTTATTACCTTAACTCATCGCCTTTACAAACTCACAATTCAGTCGAATTGTTCCCGCAACCAAATAGCTTTCACTTTTATATCTGACACGAACCGTGTCAGAACATCGTCTGCCCCGTTTTTTCATCTGGCGCGCCCTTCATCTGCCTCTCATCTTGCTCCTGATTGGTCACACACATTTAACATAGTATCTGTTTATTCTTTGGTTACCCGTTTGTAATAACTTAATTTATTTTCTGTCCCACGGAATTTGCTTACGCATCATTTCACTGCATTATTTATTAACATATTATGTCTTTTCCCTACTATCAATTCTGATGACCTTTCCTTGTATTGTTTCCAAAATAAAGTTCACCTCCATTTCTTTTCTATACATCCATTGTTGCTATCGTCCATATTTAAAATATGTAAATTATTCTCATTTAATTATCTTTGTGACAACCCATCGCACTACCCTACTCCTTTACTAACATTGTATTGGCATTGTTGAATTAAGAATAAATGATAGCAACGAGCATTGTAGGCCAAATTTGATAACCACAAATGTTTGCTCCCGTGTAATATAAACTTTTTTGCATCGAAAAACGAACTACAAATCTAATACAGAATTCTTTCGTCAAAATAACCAAACTTCCTCTCGCAACTACCTAAGCGAGGGTTCAAGAAAACATGCGAGGAAAATATTAGTTACGCATCGAGATAACAAAATAGACTCTTACAAAACAAAACAAAAAGTTGGTTTCGAAAATACGGTGATCGCATTCCTGCCCTTCGCAAGAAGCACTATTGTTTGGACACGTTTTGCACAAAAAAAACAACTATTTTATTTCTAAAATTTCACTACCGTATTAAAATAATGAAAGATACTTTCACACACACTCTAATTCACACCAACGCTCTCAAACTAACTGCAGCCGAAAATATAAGACAGAAATTGCCTTCTTTTCAGGGGCCCGTTTCACAAAGGTTACAAGTGCTAGTATTCACAAGTTCTCGTAAGTTCTGTTTCACAAAGATTTTACAACACTTGTGGATACAATTGTACCCCCCACCGCATACATCGTATTGACTAGGCATACAAAATTGTAATTTTATATGTGAGCCAATAAATTATTTGAAATAAAATGCGTGTTTTTGCGTTCCTTGGAATTGAGTTGACTATCTGCCTGTTTTTTCGTGCCCGACTCGCGTCTTTGTCTTTTGGTTTTGTGTATGTTTTATCTGGCGTTGTTTTAGCCTTTATTTTTATTACCAATTCTATTTCTTTTTACTTCACTTTCAGACTTCTCTTTATAGGTACTTTCTTCATTCATTTTAAAATGACTCCATTGTCTATTGAAATTTTCCTTCCACTTACGTAATATTTTTACTTTTGCTTTTTATTCTTACATTTCTCTGCAATGGCATTCTGAGACAACAAAAAGTACGTTTTGGAGAAAATTCGAGAGCATAAGGCACTTACCATTATTTAATACTTTATCACTAACGGCTATTTTCAATTTGTAAATACTTACGAACGCATAAATATACAAATATCGACACTTGTAATCGTAGATCGTTCAACACCACACGTTGGCTTGTAAGAAAAAATTGCTCATTTACAATTGTATTGGACCACCAGTAAGTTCTGAGAAACACTTGTTTCTTGTAGAATGTCACTTGTCAACTAGTAGGCTTTCACCTGGAACTATTAGTGATTACTAATGTTATTGTGAAACGCGACTGCGCGGTTCTCACAAGTTACCAGTTAATTCATTTGAACTTGTGGACTTGCAACTTCTGTGAAACGGGTCCCAGAACTTTACACAAAGAAGCCATGTGTACATTTTGAATCAACAGATATCAAATGAAAAGACATTCTCCAAGCTTCACAAATAATGCATTCAATATCGTCAATAACTGACTGAACTTGTTCTTTTAATGACACGCGAAATTCATAAAACATTGACTTACAGCTGGTGTCAGTCGAAAAGAAAAAATTGGTATTTCTCTCGGACGCCGTGCAGCGCTCAGCGACAAGACCCCCACTGGTTGTGCAACCGAAGAAGGCCTTTTTACTAAAAAGAATAGGAAGCAGCAAAGAATAGAAGCAATACAGCCAAGAGCGTGACATGGTGCCAGGCCTGGGAGAGCTCTCGTTGGTTTCAAAATGATTTCATATACCCATTTCGATATTCCTGCAATATCTTGAATATTGGATGTCATTAAAACGAACATATTCCAAACAAAATATTTTTCGATTATCTGGGTTGTGCTACGCAAGGACGAACCGCCACTGATCCTGGGCTAGAGCTTTCCATGGATACCCACAGGGCCTCGAGTTCCTTCAAATCGATTGAGTAATATCAATTTTAGAGAAAATTGTCTATGGGGTTAGCGTTCACCACAGATGGACCCATTTTGGCGTCACTCGATTTTTTTAAGGACCCACAAAACGTGGTTTCTGGATACTCACTGTGTTAAGAGGGCATCACTTACTAGATGTAGGAATAACATTCATCCTTTTCCAAGCCCCGGAAATAGTTTTCTGTCGAACAATCGCCGTTTTCCGGCGCACGATTACAATATTTTCTCTCGTTAGGAAGTATGGCGAGAAATGAAAATGAAAAAGATATTCATTCAGATTAAGAAGTGCTCCTTGTTACTTATCATATTACATTTCCTACTAGTTGCCAGCTAAGACCCTTGATATTTAATTTTACAAGTCATGATTGCATGAAAACACCAGTGCATTTATCGCTGCTTCATTAATAACCATTGTATTAAAAAAGAATAATATTTGGTATATGTTACATTTAGGAGTGAAAGAATCACAAATATTAGGATTAACTTGGTAAAAAAAATTAAAATAAACACAGAAAAAAAATCTCAGAACACTAATATTTATTAATTCATACACAATTATCAGGTCGCAAAGTAAATATGGAGTGTATCTGTTTTATGACAGCAAAATAAAAAAACAACTAACACTTCCACGGAAACCACTTATTGTTATTATTTTGTTGTTATCCACACTGAGTGACAAGTGAATACAAGCTGAACTATATTCACACAGTTTTTGTGCCATTTAACACAAGAAACAGATGAGGTACAATGGTTTTACAGCTATGCAAAATTTTTTACCATAAAAAATGTAAAAGTTCACGATGTATGCAACACAATTCTCTTTCATCAAAATTACAGAGTAGAACTTCAATATGGAGTCCCCTGAATACTGCATTATCAATGAATCTGATTAAATCCATTTACAATTGACAGATGCCAAAATCTTGTCATGTTCCACTTCAATCAGAAGCTCAGTTAGCACAAGATTTTAATGTAGATGTTCAACATTGGAGCCACTCACATGGCTGGAAATCCCAACTGTTCAATTGTTCAGTACTTCACAAAATTCATAGCACTTTTGTGATTCAGCATCTCAGGGAAGATTTCCATCGTCTAGTCTTCTTAAACAAGTAGTTCCAGCGCTGATCTTGAACCTTCTCACGTGTGCAACGTGTGTTGGTTGATACGACTTAATAACATACTCTGCAGTTTTGGAACGGGTTGGCCCCTGTTTCGATCCCCCCACGCCCTGTGCCGAGGGCTCACACGTTGCCTGATAAGATAAAAAGCAATCAGCTGCCATCATACAATGCTACACAACAGAACTTTTAGATCCATTAAACCTGAAAAGAAAAGACTTAATTCTTTTGGAATGGGAGAGAAGTTCTAGGGATTGGATAGCTGAAACATCAATGTGACTGATAGCATTAAGTTACCAAAGTAGAAAAACTAACTCCTCCTTTGTTCTGAGTAAAAGTGATTCAAGATTTATAAATTTATCACAATTTCAACATGCAAATAGATAACAGATTTCTAAGAAAAAATAATTTTGAATAAGAGAATTAACTAAAAAGAAGCTGTCATAAAACTGATGAAAATTTTAAAATCAATGTTCACTATTAAAAAAATCTGATAATCTGGTATCTTTAAATACTGACTCATATTCAATTCAGAAGGTACATCTATCTATACACCAAGTTCAGTATACTGAAACTTCCTAGCTTTAAGAAAAATAAAGCGTCATTTAAAAAATAAAATAAAAATTCAACAATAAACCTGAATAAAATCAAAATTTTAACTCTAAGGAAACTTTAGAAGAGAACCGACCATTACAGAACGCAGCCACAGTGGGTGGTGAGCACCACAATGGAGGGGCACAAGAAGGCCGTCTCTCCTTTTTCCCTGACCACAGGAAAAGGATCTCTACAGCACGCAGCTTCAGCAGCATACAACAGATATGTTCAATCTGAACACAAGTTGCATCCCATCCACGGGACTACATTATTTTTTCAGGCTACCACTACCCGATCGCCGTCGTCGCTTCTCTCTTTCACTCACTCTTCTTTGTTGGCGCTGCTGAGCTCTGACCCTTTCTCTCTCCCTCTCTGCCTTGCGCATCTCGGCCATTCGTCTTTCATGTTCGGCCATATGTTTTCTACGCATTTCCTCTTTTACAACGATCTGGAAGTAAAAAAAAAACAAACATTAGAATTAAAAAAGATATTTTATCAATGTAATAATAAGTATTGAAACTAAATAATAATTTAAATTTCTGTCTCGATTTAATTTAATTGTTGATATGTTTGAAAAGTTTCCTATTTTTTATACTTGCAGAATACTGTTAGTTATGAAATGTTTCACAAAATGATATATTACAATTTCAAGCATAAACTACAATAATGGAAAAGACAGCTAAAAAATAGTGTAATCTATAAATACATATTTTTTAATTTATATTTAATTTTAGTGAAGTATAAAATATGACAAAAGGGTGTCACCACTGATACATGGTATAATAAAAGCCTCCAGTAACTGGCATTATCAAATACTAACTGAATTCCCAGTGTTGCCTAGGTTTTTATTGATCACAATCATCTTTTCAATGGCAATGACCATCTAACACTTTCTTCAGTTCTGCTTCAAATCATACAGTAACAAAGCTGCCTAAATGCATTAAGGCTAGTATTAAACTAAAATTTGTTTAATTTATTTACACAAATGTATCTAGTATTTTCATGTATAACTGATGAAATTCATCAAATGTAGATATACACTATGCATTTGGGAATCACTATTGCAGATAATATGAAATATAAATTCTAGTTAATTCTTCTCATACATGTACAATTTCTGATAAATTCATTAAAAGGATCATGTTATAGGCTTCCATGGCTAGAGTCAAGATCTGGGCTGTACAGGTGATGATACATCTTGACAACTGTAGTGATCACACACTTCAGCCCTGAAGAAGACCACGATATGAGGGTTGAAATGTCACCACCTCAACCTTCAACACGGCATCACCCAGACAGTCTAGTTCACATATACAAGAATTTAGGCAATTATTTGATGATAGATTTTATTGCCTAATTTTTTAAATAATCATTACGTTTTAATGTTTAGGTTTCATTTAACACATTGACTGTCATGTGACCACCACCTGCCACATGGTTGAAGGAGGTCTCATTGTCTGTTCTTCTTCAGAAGGATAAATCTTTCAGTGGTGTTTTGGTAACACATGACCTTTAGATAAGATTGTTGATTCATGGAATGTTATCAGTTGATTCTTGACTATTGATGTTCCTTTTTTCTATGCTATTAATTTCTTGAGAATCAATGCATTCATTGTTATTTCTTGATTTTATTCTCTAGATTCAGTAGAAAGAAGCTAAACCAAAATTTTGGATAATCCGAGGAAAAATAAACAAAATAAATGAAATGCTAATTCGTAGTGTAAAGAAAGGATTTTATAATTACTGTAGAATTGAATAACTAATTATTGAAATATAAGTTGTCAAAATGAAACATTTATAGCACTGGTGAAGATCACATGTTATATATTATGTACGTAGCAATAATTCACACTTGCAAAATCAGTAATCTTGTTTTGCCGTAAGGAATCTGCTGAATCTGCTTGAAGATGCAATTGCTACACTACATTGCTATTTTCTCACATTGCATTGTCTATTGATGTATTTGTATATGTACAGAATATTTTTTCCGATAATTTGAGCAGACCACACAGCCAATTAGTTCAGATTTCCGCAGTTTTATTGTATATAGAAAATGAAGATATAATTTGGTTTCTTCTTTCATTTTTATTTCATTTTTTCAAAATTTACTTTTAATGTCATATATTCAACATGATGTTTACTGTTAATTTATGTACTGTCACTGTGTGGTACTTGTGTACTGAATTATCACATAATCCGCTTTGGGTTTAGAATGGATCCTAAACTGCCATGTGGAGTGACATCTTTTAAAAGTGAACATTTAAAAACAAGAGTCAAGGCCAAAGCAAAGTTATTAGAGATTTTTGAACAAAGAGATTTTGATTTCGATGATTCTAAAGGAAGGAACTCTGATGAACCAGGTATATTTGAAGGCACAATTGATGATGATGATGATGATGATGCCGATAACTGTGGTGGCGAAAGTCATAGAAACTATAGTAAGTTTCGTACATAACTAATTCTACAAATAATAGGGGTTAGTATTATGTTAGTTGCAGTCATTTTAGAGATTTTATTGACTGGTAAAGACAAATATAATTATAAGTCCATGTATGCTATGGATACAAATGCTTTGAAGCCAAATCACGTTTTTCTTCCATTTTTTGATAACAAGATAGTTAACTTGATTGTGACAAAGACTAACAGAAATACTGCAGAGTATTTAGATAAAAATGAAGCAAGAATTAGAGTGTGAATGAAGTGCTGGACAGTTCCTAAACAAATTCATAAATTTTTCAATATTGTGATGTACACAGGACAAGTGAAGGACCTATTAATTGAAAATTATTTGAGCAGAAATGCCTTGTTCAAGAATACACTTAACCCAAAAATAAACAACAGAAATCACATACAGTTACTCCTACATTCCATTCATTTTGCAGGCAACAGTTGCTAAAGGTCTTAGAACAAGTTCAGTGAAATATCACTTTTGTTACAAAAGAAATTTTGAAAATAATATGTTCCAGAAACTGATACCATTGATGAAACAACGGTGCTATTTCAAGGGATCTTTCCCTTCTGCAGTAAACTCCAGGTAAAGGTCATAAATGTGTTGTTAAAAACTTTTTGTACCACATGTTTTTTACCATGAAGTGATCTTTGAATTTCTATTGAACTCTTCATTGGTATTTACATCAATACTATTTGGAAAATAATCAGCAATGAAAATGTTAATAAAGAACTTCAGGCCAGATATTATAGGACATGTACTTGCAGTTTTGGTTGAATAAATTATACGTGTATAGAAACCAGCAAAGTTCACCAACATCACAATGAATCTACTATAACTTGTAATATTTAAAAATTATATCATTAAAGCTTTTCAATCAGATTTTCAAGTAGAAGACTTGTACACAGATTTTGCCCGGCCTTTTGAACAATTAAATCACGACATACTGATTGACAAGTTGAAGTACTTAGGCATCAACGATTCATTCCTATCACGGATATGATTCTATCTTTCCTACAGAAGCCAGTTTGTCATTAATGGCCATGCATATGAGCCATTTATAGTCAGTTCTGATATACTCCAAGGCTCTCATCTGGGTCTGATTCTTTTCAGTATTTTTATTAATGACCTGCCATTGGTTATTAAACAACATAAAATATTATTGTTTGCAGTTGATGCCAAGATTTATGCCAGGATTACTGATTTTAACAATGCCTACTACTTACAAGAGGATCTTTCTGCCTTCTCGCAGTGGCATTCTACAAACAAAATGGAACTATACCAGTAAGTGATGCGCAAAGACCTTTTCCTGGAGACATAATGTCTACCAATATTCATTCGTTCTTGAATACCTACTCTTTATCATCAGGGATTGTGATTCATGAAACTCTATTTTAATGAACATATTACTGTCACAGTGATTAAAGTGCTGAGTACCCTATGTCTACACGTAACACCAAATCCTTCTGGTCCACTGATTGCTTACTAATTCTCAATAAAACTGAGATTCTTCCAATTTTGGAATACAACTTTTATCACCTAACACTTAAATATCAATTGGAAAAAGTACAACATAAATTTCTATGCCCCCCTAACTTTTAGAAATGTGACACCAATTCATAGATTAGATTACAACCTTTCTACATTTTACACTTCACTTAAAAAATGGGCACCCTTCAGAATAAGAGAAAATTCTATGATTTAATTTTCTTGCATAAAATATTAACTGGTCTCATTGATTGCCTGAACTTCCTTTTCTTCTCTCTCTTCACAGCCCTCAGATGAAATGAGAATCCCTGCCTGTTTCTGGGTGGAGTCATCTTCAATGAACTAAAGCTTTTATGATATCTAACAGATTGCCTTGAACTGCCAATTACTCTGCTGATAGGACTGATTATTTTAATTATCACTTAAAAAAATATATTATTGCCTTAAATTTCTTTTATTCTTTGATCCAAAGTGTGTAGACCATCATTAAGTTTATGAACTACAGTATTTTCTACTTCTATATGTAACACTGTTATAATTATATCTATACATATTCTGTTATTGTAAGTGTTTTATGTTCTTTTAGTTATTAGCTTCTTGCATTGTTATTATTCACATTATGACAAGTAAACTGCGGGATGTTTTTAATTTGCGTAATTATTTGTAATTCTAAAGGTATGTCCGGTAAATAAATAAATAAAATATTGACGAGAATCTCACATGCATTACTTGAAAACACAATAAAAATAACTCAATTGAATAATATTTTCAAGAATTCTTATTTGTTTAGATTTTAGCCTAGTAGTAAACCTATGTCCTTGGCAATCAATGTGTTAACTGAAATAAAACAAGTCATTTTCAATTGTTAAATTATAATAAATTGTATTTTTCATTAATATTAATTTTCGAGAACATTTATTTCTGTCATATTATTTTAGAATAATACACATGTTTACAGTTAAAACATTACACTTTGAAATGTATGTACCATTTAAATAAAATGTAAACCAACCTAACATATTTTTAATGTTAGTTAATGTTTCTGAGCGGATAGGTCACGGTTCAATTGGCCTTGAAGGGCCACGGTATGAGATCTAAGGTTACCAGCCAGCTGCTATCCCGGACATTTCACCCAAGAACCTGCAACCACTGAATATGACGACGCAGCTGTGGATGAAACGTTTGGCTCTTTAACGCAAATTGTACCATGACCTATCAGCCCAGAAACATCACTAATATTGACTCTGGCTGTGAAAGTCTAAGACGCTACATTTTAAATGTGTTCATCTTGATTTGCATTCTTACAATCATTGTAACATTCCAAAGCTCTGTATTTTGCAATGGTTCTACAAGTGATACCAATAAATTGTTACTGTACGTTATTTAAAACAATAGCTGATAAAACAATAATTGTGTTGCAAATAATTTTTTCTGACAAATTTAAAAAAATTATGAGTTACATAAAGAATTCAAAATAATTTTAAATAACTCGTACAGTTTTCTAATAAATTGATCTAGACTTGCATACCTGTTCGGCAGTGAGAGGGAGCCAATATATGCAAGGAGTAGTTTTTGTTTTACGAAAGAGATCATCTAACAGTTTGGCAGGAGCATCTTCCTCTTTCTTTTTGACTTTCCGAACTGAAAGAATAAATAGACCATAATAAAAAACTCAATAGCATAAAATATAATAAAAGCAGAACACATCAATTTTTTTTTACCTGATACATCATGGGGGGATGCACTTCTACTTCTGTGTGGCTTGTCTTTACGAATTTTCCTCTCTTTTTCTCTATTTTTTTCATCATACCTATTATCTCGCTCGGGTGGTGATGACTGACCTATTTTTCCTAGATCCCATTCTCTAACAATCATCTGCACAAGTTAAATAAATTTTAATTAACTGGCCAAGGGATTTGACATAAAAAATGCCAGCGAATTAATTCATATATTACCTTTTTATTATGCTCTACTGGTTCTGCAGGTACATGATGTGGTCTTTCTTTAACCCGTGTTCGCTCTCTTTCACGTTCTCTTTCTTTCTCCTTCTCACGATCACGTACTTCTCGTTCACGTTCTTTCTCCCTCATTTGCTGTTCCACAACCCAATCTACACTCCTTTCAACCTTCAACGGTTCTGTTTTCCTTGGTATTTGGTCAGACTCAGCAACAGCTTGTGCCATCTCCATGTCTTCTTTCTTCCCAAAATCGACACACAATGTCTTTGGGTTGGAGACCGGCCACCTAACACCATGTAGTGCATGGCGTGTCTCTTTTGCTTCAGACTCATTTTCATACTGAAAAAATTAAGTGTTCAATAAAATAGGTATTGGAACTAACATAATTAAATGTTGTAATGTTTAAAAATACAAACCTCTACATAACATTTTGACTTGATTTTATCAATCCAAAATCCACCTTCTATAATTTTTCCTGTTCGTGCAAGTAGTTCTTTCAATTGATTTACAGTGAAAGGCCTAACTAAATTGGTGATAAATAGAACATTAGTGGCTTTATGGCGTGGTGGACTAGGAGATCTCTGAAGTTTTCTGGCATCATCTGACACAATTGATATCTTACGTGTCACTATTTTACCTGTGAAATGAAACCATTAGAATGTAGCACAATGTCTGTAGTTACAGTAATCTGAGATAAATATAAATAGAGTATGTACTTTAACTGCAGTAACATGTTTTAAATTAGTTTGTGTTTTTAATTTAGCGAGCTTAAGAGATGGGCAAAACACTGCACTTTTAGAGACATTCCTATATTCACAAATTACATTTCTAAACTGAAATATGTTGAAGTGAATAGCCTTCAGAAGTATCCAAATCAAGAATAATTTTGATGTTAAAACCTATGAGCCCCTATGTCAAGTAAAACTTCATACAGAAAAATTGGTCTTCCATTCTGATGTCACTCTCGACATATATTTTTAATCCTTTCTTGCGCTTGTTGTGCAAAACTCAACAGGGCACACACGATTACGGATAAGACTACACATTGTGAAACAACAACAGAGACACAATATTAAAAAACTTACAATGTTTTTGACAATGACATGGATCTGTGCAAGATATCAAATATTTTCTTTCCAATTAGTGTTAATGTTTTAAGAAATTGTGCAGGATTCCACACAAATACATGTGATTCTTTAATTTCAAAGGTGTTTTTCTCATGTCAAGTCAAAAACATTGCTTAGACATTCAATGCACAATGCTGTCCAATTCATATGTTTATCATATTCATTGTTGTGTAGTATCACCTATGTTTTAGGTCTATCAGTTTGCTCAACAATGAATTACAATAATAATTGATTAGAAGTTGATGAGGATTAGGGTTGAAGAAAACCAAATGTTTCCATTGTTCCTTATCTAAAACGCTTTTTCTTTGAACCTCAAAACATAGAATCTGAAGATGCATCAGCAACGTGCCAGGGTGACCTGTCAATGCCATATTAACGAAGATCTGACGAAAAGAGCCTACGTCAAAACACAAGGAGTTGGCAAAAGAGTGCAAAGGGTTAAATTGTCTAAAATTATAATTCATTTATGAGTTCCATATAGTGTAGTACTTTATAACATCTCAGAAATTCAAATTTTCTGAGAAACCCACAGGTTTTAAACTTTTGTGTTATACAATAAAAATTTCAATTTACTTTGATGATCATCAGTAACTGCAACACTTATCCGAGAGGCATCAGGTAAGTGAAGAGGTGGTTTCTCACGCACAGTGTCTTCTTTTATTTCATTTTTAATCTTTTCTCGCTCAACAGGTTTTTCATTTTCCCAAATATCAGTCTCTCGTTTAATATCTTCATCTTGAATCAACTGGACTTCACCAATAGGAACTGGTTTTGCTCCAGGAATGAGAGTCTGAAAGAAGAAGAAAGTAAGCTTAAGAAAGTACTCTTCTGCCCACATTGAAAGGAAATTTTAAATGAACTTTTTTAATATTTCTTCAGTACATCTAAAATATCTCAAATGCATCCAGATCACTAAGAAAAATTCCAACGATAATAATGACTATAATCAACACAGCTTACTTACTTTTAATGAATCAGTTGAAATGGAAAGAACTGGTCTTTTGGAAGGACGAGAGCTGTTACTTTGTCCCCATCTTCTTTTACGAGGAATGCCCGACAACGAGTTAACATTACCTGGAAAATTAATTAGAATTTTGTGCCACTCTACAAAAGGTTTTGATTATTCACTATACTTCAATTACATAGAGTGTATATTAAATTAATTATTATTGCATAGCAATTATTGTGTGTACCTGTTTGAGAAGAAATTGAATGACGGAAACCAAATGACTGCCCATACAAATTTGGATTATAAATATGCATTACAGTTACATTAATTACAAAGAAAATACTTTAGTTACATGCTAACTAATTGAACATTCAATTATTATTGTATAACATGTGATAACATAGAAGGAAAACTAGTGGAGCTACAACAGCACATCTTCCTAATATAATTGTAATGGTAACATATTACAATAATGTAACTTATTTATTACTAACACTGCAGCCACCACTTAAACAATTTCTAACAAACAAAATATGAGAGGTTTGAATTTCAGTTTTTTGAAAAGCATGATGCTATATACAACTGGATGTAAGAACCTATCTGATCTATCCGACGCTAACCATTTTTAAAGCTATAATGTAGAGAAACAGTACTAATATTTCTTTTTATTTTATTCTGTAAATATGTAGCTATAAAAGCATTTGTTTCAACAAAACGAGTTTTGCTCCTTCACAAGGGCTTGTACAACACCGGTGAAGTGCCCTAAACCCTACCCCTATCCTAATTCCTTCCATACTCTGGCTGCTGGGTAGTGCCGCAGGAGTGCGTGCATGGAGATGCTACCTGGTGGGCCTCTTGACAACTGACTGCCATGAGACATGATAGATAATGACGTATTTAGATAATGGAGGTTTTCTCCAATAGAGGAGGACGTGCAATACTTAATGGAGGATTACTGGCAAGCGCAAAGTGCTCAAGGCCCCCGAGCAGGCTTGGAAACGTGTTGCATCAATTCATACGCAATAAAATGAAAAAATGTGAAATCACCCTCATTGATGAATTCTAAACTTTTTAATGATTCTAACATATTGTAACTAAAACCTTGCAGATGAGGAATGAGGAATACATTGCTTAAGAAATACATCTCTAGTTTCAATATTGGAAGAGTAAGATAGATCTTAAAAAAATAAATGTTTATTAGATAAACAAATTAAAATTAGAAGAATTTTCAAAAGTTCTGAGGTTTTACTAAAAATCAGATTAATAAGATTTTTTATAAGCAAAATTTTCTTCTGTTTGAGGGAACAATTTAGAACCAGTTTTGAAAGAAAAAAATTGATAATGTCAGGGCTTACTGTAAAGTAAAACAAAATATCCGATTCAAATTTGAGAAGCTATGACATCATCCAAATCAATCAATGAACAACTATTTTTGGTGAAAATGCTACGTAGAGTTTTGGTGCTAGCATTGTTGACAGGTGTTTTGAGCTCAAACAATTTTTGAAATGCTTTTTTTGGTATCAAAGTGCTGAAATATGTTTCTTTAATTATAGATAATGAATGTAAATAAATTTAGTCATCTGTCAATTGTAAATAATCACTTACTGTAGCACCACATGCCAATCCTCAATACCTCTTTTCAATAATCATACAACATTATCCTTCATCTTCATCATCGTAATATTATAAATGATATTTTGACAGTTCAATTACTTCATGCTAGGTAGCTACTGGATCACAACAGTGGTTGACAATTGTGAAACAAGGAATACACTCTATGAACTTGTTAGGCTACAATAGTGAACTAAATTAATCTCATATCCTGAGAGTTGTGAAAAAAATGTGCTTCTCCACAATTCAACAGAGAAGAAATTGGTCTGATATTGTCAAAACATTTAGAGTCCCGAATGACAGATACAACATCCAAAATGTGAATGGGATCTTTGTCAGGGTCGCTGACAGTACAATTCAAAGACATCATCTTCAGCTTCAGAAGATTTGCAAGCACCAAAGGCCCAAAGCACTTTCTCATAAACAGTGTTGTCATCATTTGGAAGTGTCTCCAACATTGTTCTATTTTGGCCAGGACAGTTGACTTTGTCAAGGAGAGGCAGGGCCATATTTACTCTAATAATAAGATACTATTATTCAATTGGATAAAGCATATCAATTGCGGTAGGGTTGATATGAAACTTGAGTTTAGATGTGTACGATGTTATTTTACTCCTGGAATTTTGACTTGATATGTAATATAATATATGTGTTGTTTAGCTTCGGCTGCCGCCATTCATGAATAATATAGACATTTAATATATTTTTTCTATTCTCTTATTCTAAAATTATGTGAGAAATAAAATTACCAATAAAAAAGCAAAATTTAATAAATTGGTAATCATTAAGCTTTAAAGAACTGAAAAAGTTATGTACTTTGCAATACTCAAGCCTCCATTTAAGGAGAAGATCTAGTTCCCAAGAAGAGGTTCCTTTAATTCTCAAGTAAAATTTAGTACTCCATGAATAGGGGGCAAAACTAGACAAGAAATCATTCCTGATTATTAAGAGTATAAATATTGTCAGTGCAAAAGTCTAAAGAATCGCAGAGAACAGTAAACTGTCTTAAGTTAATCATGATACGAAATCATGAATAAGACTTTGAAAACTTAGAAAAGTGAATAACATTTACAACTGATATAAAACAAAGATGACAAACCTGTTTCCATTTTTTGAGAATCATTTTCCTGAAAAAGAGAAAAACAAATGTGAAAATAAAATACCACTTAATGAACTAGAAAATATAAGTTCCAGATAAGAAAAATAATAGTTTGAAAGCAATAAAAGAGAAATAAGTCAAAACTTGATATGGAATGAATAAATAATAAACCTGTCCCAGGCATTTTAACAAATTAACTTTATTACTCTGGTGAAGAAATTCTATAATATATTATTTAAAAAAAAAAAAAAAAAAAAATATTAAGCATCATCACAGTTATTCTAAATTTCTTATTGTGTTATTTTCCACAGACATACATTTTCAGAAAGTATTTGCAATTATTTGTTTTTATTGTTGGATTGTAACACACACCCCTCACAATTAACAACACTGTTATTGGTTAAGGATAAATGATGGGGATAGACTAAATACAAAGTAGTAATAATACTTCGAGTTCTCTCCTCTTATGATGAATTGATACATAGTGGATGATGCAACTGAAACTCGGTTTCACTACAATCTGTTATTCAGAGAGAGGTCGCATTTTGTCTTCACACGTGAGTGGTCGCCCATGAGAAAATGGGCCTCAGAGAAAGTTTTGTTCCAAGAGTAACTTCTAACTTCTTGTGAACTAATATAAAGCCGTATTTAAGTGACTGTTACATCCTTTACTGTATTGAATGAGTACTTTTTTATTTAAAATTATCAATATTAATTTTTAAAATCCATCATCACTTCCGATGCAAAAAATCAATATTTTTTTTCTTCCATATAATGCAAAAATACATTAACATTAATATATGGTAAATGCTACTTTGAGAATGTATGTGTAAAATTTAGTAATACATTTTGATAGGTCATCTTTACAACAATCAATGAATGATATTTTCATACTAGTAGTTATCTTCTAATTTTCTTATTGAGAGAATGCATTTCAGTCCAAATTTCACACTTATTTTGTTTTATTTCTTGTGACTTCTGATCCTCATTTTTGTTCTGAATGCAAACATACCTTATTTATCCCAATGGAAGAAGAGGTTTTCTTCCCCCAAATCTCATTCAAACAATAGGCGGTTGTCTTATATTTGCAGATTATGCCTAGCCAGTTACGATTTACGTTTTTACATTGCTTTCCATGTCATCGTAAATGTGGAGTAACAATAAAGGGTGGTCCATAAATTACATAACGCTAAAGAGGGGTGGGGGAGGGAGGTTGAGGAAGCATTATGCTGCATTCACAGGGGTCGAGGGGCATTAGTAAATAAATTAAAAAGTAATGATGTACAACTGTTTATAATAAATCAAAATATATTTTCCTCAATGGTATATTGATTGAATCTTAGATTTCAAAGAAAGTATTCAAAACTAATTTATAGTATATTCTAGAACGCAATTAAATTGATGCAGTAAATTCTCATCCATGTGTCCTCCACAATATCATGTGCACTAGTGTGAATGCCTTGTTTAATGTAGTTAATATTGCTTTTTAGTGTTTATACTTGAGCAGGATGGCAAAAAGAAATGCCTTGTTTAATGAGATACATGAAAGTTTAAAGCGTTTGTTACAAGATTCAAAGCAACAACCAAATAAACAAATCAATTTCAGCAATAACCAAAACAATCAAATACAGTATTACTTCCACATCCAAATTTCTAAAATTAGTAAAATAAGTTTTAATTGTTGGTGGAGATTTCATCATTCACCAAATACTTCTGGTATAAAAGTGGAAAAGACAGTATGAAAATGTAAATGAGGTAGGCCTTTCATGTGATTGTGAAAGTGATGACAATTATTGAAGTATTTAGTCAGAAAGGATTTTGTCTTTGAGAAAAATAAATTATTATATTAAAACATTTTAAATGAAGTGTCATCATTTTATAAAAAATGTCCTGTTGTTCGATTATGGAAGCATGGTAACCCTGTGTATTGTGCTTCTTTCTTTATGGTCCTCCTGTACGGTGGCATTCTCTCACTTTTAAATCAAATTTACCCAAGACAGTGTCATAGCCCAAACTTGAGGGAGAACAATAGGATACTTGAAAACCATGTCCAAACCAGACCGTAGAACAGACCCATACTTATGTGAAAGTCTTTCTTCTATTAAAATTTTTGCAGGGTAGCATAAAATGTGATTAACAATCATTTGACCAGAGGTTTGTGAAGTATAATACATGGCAATAGCATTGCTAGATCCACTAGTTCCACATTTTTATTCTAAAGAAATGAATTTTTTTGAATTTATTTTTATAAACTGAGCCTGAATACCTGCATTATTAATACGTGTTACAAGGGATCGAATTTTAATGAAATGTCAATATTTTTCTTTACACATTGGAACAATGCTTTTTAGAATAGTCACATACTTTGTTATTACAAAAGCAATTGACACTTTTTTAATTTTTTTTAAATACATTTTTTAGCGATTTTGAGTAATAAGTCATTTCTTATCTTCTCCCCCATTTTTAAAACCTTATTCACTGATTTTCACCAATTTTAATGGTAGTCGCTTCAAATAATATTAACGAGATGCAACAAATGTTCTGCACAGAATTCCTGAGTAGCCTATTGATTTCTTCATTCAGAAATTGTAATGTCAGCTATTGTAAGTATGTAATCAAATGTTCTTGTGATACCTATCAGCACCATTGTCAGGTCAGCTGATTATGGAATAACTAAAGCAAGCCATTTCTGGCAAAGAGTCCAAACCAAAAGTTTACAAGCAGACTCCACTTGAATGAAAAGAAGAAGCTTTGATTACTTAGTAACATATCCCACAGCTTGAGTTGTTCATCTGAACCAGTTTCGATAAAACTTTTTATGTCCTTTTCCTTTGCTTTTACGGCATTTTATTGATCATTTTATGAGCATTTTATTGATCATTTTGGGTGATGTTTTAGGTCATTGAAATTCACTCCATATTTCTTATCTAGTATTAGCTACTAGTATTCTTTAGACAAGTTTCTTATTTTGCAGGGATGTAAATTTCATTTTGAGAAACTCCAGCACATGGATCATTGGATTTGAAGGCAATCATCAGTGAGGTAGCTTTCTGAGTTAAAACTAAGTAATCAAAATAAACTTAAAGAATATCAACTATACCTTATTTTCTTGGTTCACATTTTCGTTAAACTCTTCCTTTTCCTTATGCTGGGAGTAATCCGACCCTTTTAGTTGCTCCAATTCACAGCTTTTTCCTGAACTATGTATATAAAAAAAGAAAATAATTTGTTACATTATCTTTTGACAAGCTGCATGTTGTAGATTAAACTAGATAGTAACTATTAAAATAAAATACTTACAATGATCTCCTCAATGAAACCTTTTCTCGGCGCTGGGGGCTACGAGATTTACGTTCTAGGTGCCGCCTACTTTTAACACTAGATAACTCTTCTTTTTTAGGCTCCAAAAGTTCATGACTGATCTCTTCCTGTTCTTTGCTTCTGGCTCTTTCTACATGCCTCTGTCTAAATCTTGGAGAACTATCTTTGCTATCATCATTCCTTGGTGACTCTTTTTCATCCTCACTACTGTCTGATCTTCTCACTTCTTTAACATCATTACTTGCACAGGAAGTTTTAACCTCATCATTTTCTAATCTTTCTTTTGGTGATTTAATCTTCTCTTCTATTAGACAAGAATTGCCTGTTTCTTTTTCTGATTCTTTCTCCATCGAACAATCATGACTGTTTTCAGCAGCAATCTCTGAAGTACTTTTAACTTCATTTTCATTTGAATCATCATTGACAGGAAATTTTAATTCTGGCTCATCTGATGGAGTAATTTGGACTTCATCTGTACATTGTCCAGAAAGTTCTGTGCTATCACTTTTTTCTTGTTCTGGTTCGTGCTCTTCAGTTTTAGGCACTTCTTTAGTACTATTAGGATCATCAAGCTCAGGAGAACTGTCACTCTGACATCCTGTTTCACTTTCGCCCTCTAAAACAGGAGGACTTTCCTTAATTTTCTCTTTGTTTGTTTCAGCATTATTATCCTCTTCCTTTTTCTCATTTGTTTCTTCTTCTTCACTGTGTCTGTCATCGCACTTCTGCATTTTTTCCCCATCTTCCTCTACACAAAAAACAAGACAATCATCAACATATTGAACACAAATAACAAAATTCTAATGTTCCATCTCTCCAAGGGATTTGCCAATCTTAAGAAATTTTGCAGATGAGATTCATTTAATTTCAATAAAAATTATGCCAATATGGATACCTTTTACAACCATTGAAAACGTACAGAGTTAATATTCTACAAAAAAGAGCACTTAGATGCATTTTCAAACTGAAACCTACAGTCATATACTACTACACTACACCCAACATATTGACTAATCATTACTCTCTTCACAAAGAAATCCAGCTCACACTTCCATTTGTAATAGTGAATTGTATAATTATAATACTAGAGGCAAAGAGAACTACCACAAGATATATACGCCTAGAACATCGATAAATAAAAGTCCCCTACAAAGAGCCATCTTATTATATAATAAACTTCCTAAAATATTACAGATGAATGTGAAGAAAAGAAATTTAATGACTTTTAAGAAAGTATTAAATAGGAATGTGCACCTATAAATTAAAAGAACTAATGGAATAGAAAATGTATTAATTTTGTAACTGTAAATTGCATATTAGTAAGTGTTAATTTTTGTTTTATACCATTTTTAAATTATTACACTTTGATGATGCTTGAAAGCTATTAATAGATAAGTCTGTAGGCAAATAAAAAAAATATCATCATAATCATCATAATAATAATAATAATATTATTATTATTATTACTATCACAAAAGCTTTTTTGTTAAAACTTACATTTGTTTTCAGATCTATGTGAAATTCTCATTTGAATTAAGAAAATCCTAACAAATTCTGAATAGTTTTCTTACCTTCATTTTCTTGGCACTGTTTTTCATTATCTTCCTCTTGTTTATCTTTAACAACTTCTACTGTATTATCTTCTTCCTTTTCACACTCTTCAGTTATAACTTCTGCTTCTGATATATTTATTTGCACAACCCCATCTTCAGGAGAATCATCCTGGCTTTCTTTTATGGTTTCAATTTGTTGCTCCTCTTCTTGAACATCTACTTCGTTCTTTGATGAAACTTTTTCATCAGAGCTCAGTTTTTCTTCTTCACCTTGACTTCCTTTACTAGAATCATAATCCTCAACATCAGATTTCTCTTTTTGTTGACTTGAACTTGACCTTCTTAATCTGAAAAATAAAACACACTTCACTAACAAGCCAATGTGTCAAAATCCAAAAGGAAAACGTGTTTAGCAGTAGTAATGCCATTGTCTTTTGTAAAAAAAACAACAAAAAAACCTCTCTCTCAGACAGTGTGTACACCAATTTACACACCAATCAGAACTTATTCATCCATTACAAAAACATTTGCAAATATTTCTTCAGATTAAAACACATCATTCACATACAAGTTCCTACCATTCTTAGTTTAAATCAATTTAAATAAGCGCTAATATAAATCACCCTTTTCTCTTGATCCCACACTATATTTGCACACTGTAGTAGTTTTGATTAATCTTATTGTTTTATTTCATAATGTAGATATCAAATCCACTAAAACATCAACATCACTATAATTTGCACCATTAGCATCATTACCATACAAGTTGTTCTTTTATAAACAAGAAATCAACATACATTTACACTTGCAACTACCTTACAAATAGAGAAAATTAAATAGCACAAACAGAAACATAAAAAAAAATTCGAAAAACAAACGAAGAGACAAGGTTGTATCAAATTTCTTTACAGAGTCATGTAGAGTTGTGCATTCTGGAATTCAAATACACTCAAATGGTAATCATTTGCATGTATTTTGTGTTGTGCACATTGTGCACTGATTATGATATTTATATTTTGGAAAATAGACCTAAAGAACACCATTAGAAAAATATTCAGTATGTCATTTATGTTTATCAAGTTAAAATTTGAGAAATAAACAATGTTCTATATTCCTGATCAGTTGATTTTTGAAACTTAGAGGAAGATTTATTGGAATCAGAGCAGGGGATCATTAATTGAAATGTATGCAACCAGGTAACTCAATGTCCTTGCACACATTGTTTAATGTTGTATCCAAAATATATGATTTAATGACTTATTAGTTTTACAGATAGAACTTTGATTTACATACTATATTAAGATACCAAATCAAGGTTTACATATCAAAATCACATATGGACAATACACTGTCCTCGTGATGTTAATTATCCTAAAATTATGAGAAAATATTAAAGTATCCCATAAAACTACAATTTTATCTAAAAAAATGTCAATGACCTTTAATCAATTGTGTAATTGTGATAAAAAATCAATAAAGGTCAACATATTCATTTTCACATAATGTCTGCAAATATGTTTAAAGTTACGAGCTCGCATTTACATAAATGAGTGAAGCAAAGTGAAAACAACTGGGTCCAACAAATAAATATTATTCATTTCAAAAATTCACTTTCACAATTAATTAGTTATATCTATATTTAAACACAAATGAAATGACACGATATTTGACTAAAACTAAGGAATTTAAGGGAATATAACGTTACCACAATTATTAGTAGTCAACAGGATGCCAGATTCTTTCATAATGAATTAATGATTTTAAAAATTTAATATTCAAATATATCATTATTGAAATATGGGAAAATTTATTTTTAACAGGAGAAAACATCCTCCAACAAGAATCATTGGAAATACATAATATTCTAATAGATTTATATTAAACTAGTTTACTAGTCGAAATAATTCTACAAAACAATGATCCCCTGATCCTACATTACTGTTTGTCAATTGTCAATTCTCCGAGTTTACTATTCAGTATTGAAAGCATCACTAAAATATTTTGTTCAGTGCGCAATTTCAATATATTTGTGAAATCTACAGAAAATGTATGGTAAAAAAGCGTTCTTTCAAAGACTAATCTACAAACCTCTTCACCTGTTAATTCACTGTGTATGTTCCCTATCAAAACAAACTGTAACCTAAATGTTGTTAACTCACTTACATAAGGCCCCCAGTACTGTGAGGCTACAATAGCTAGTAGTAGTAGTAGTAATAATAATAATAATAATAATAACAACAAAAGACCGAGCAAAGTGGCTCACTGTGTAGCGTGCTAACTTCGCTGTTGGGTGGCCTGGGTTTGATCCCCAGGCCGGGGATTTTGTGGTTTCTCCAAGTCAAACAGGCAAATGCTAAAATGGTTTAAAAAGTCCATGATCACCTCTCATCATCCTATCACCTCATAATTCATAATTCAAGACTTAACAAGCATGTCTTACCAAGGGATACAGCAGAAAAGCTGATCCCCATAACCACATATGTTAATCTCTTCCTAGGATAAAATATGAATGAGCCTTGGAAGGCAATGTGTAGCATGATCAGAAAAGAACATTACACAATAATAACAAAAATCATAATAATAAAAATTTTAAAAATGTAAGCCTTTATTGAATGGTGAGATTTCCACTCACTGAAAGTTGTTAGTTCATCAAAGCAAAGAATCCAAAGAATCATTATCAGTAGCTCAAGCTCAGTGGAATGTTAGTATTTTTTGATGACTGCTAGGAAAAAAACAATTGCCTCCCTTCTGTGGGTGACCACAAAGTTTAATATCAACATATTGTCAATGACAAAATAAAATACATTGAATTACCACACATTTGTTTCAATTCTACAGCACTTAATAATAATTAACATAATAATTTCACAAATTACCTCTTTTTTTTTCGTCCGGCAGGCTCTGGTGGATCTGGAGGGCGAACAATGCACAACTTCAATTTCTGTATTTCACCTCCTTTAGTGTCTGAGCATTTCACTTTCCATACAGAACTACTAACTTCTTTCTCTTTAGTTTTAGGGTCTGGGGACTTGGGCTGAAAAAAGTAAAAAAAAAAAAAAGCAATAAAAAAAATGATATAGATAGTTCCAAAGTATACAGTAAATAGTATAAATTTCATTATTCATCAAAACTCCTAATAAATAAAATTAATGGCATCGGATGTCACAATACAGGGGTAGGGACCAACTCAAACATTACTCTTCATGGGCGAGAGCTGACTATAATCTTTTTTTATTTTATTTATTTACTGTCACTTTTTGGGTGAATGTCCACTTTATAATGTGGGTGTATATAAAAGAAAATTTTGATATTCGTAAGTAATTTGTATAGATATCAACATTATTCAGTTTGAAAAATACTTATATAAAAGATATAATATTTACTTGCAGAAGTGGCTACAATCATTCATACTTCAATACTTTTAATTTTTTTTCCATTCATAAATGAGTTTTCATTTTTCTATCAGTTTTCAAGATTTTGCCCGTTTTTGTAATAGATGTACAAACACATTTACAAATTGGTTTAGGAAAGGATTTGACTTGTCCTCTTACATTATACTAAAACACACAAGTTGTTCATTAAATCAGGATATGAAATTACAACTGCCCAAAGTTAGAAGTGAAATTTTGTAACGTTTAAGTCTCTCATAGATGTGAAAGAAGGAATATTTGTGAGTGTTGATATTAGAGTGTGCTCAAGACTGAGATAGGAATCAGAGAGACCATAATATGGTGCTACAGTTCTATTTATTTACTTACTGTTACTGGCAATACACCCAATACAATATTAAACAGAAAAGTTATATTACAAATAAATTAACAAGAGTCTTTAAGTAATTTATTTTATGCTAGTGAAGTCACAGATGAAAATTGATAAATCAGTCTTTAACATAAAATCGGAAAAATGTTGCACAGATTCTTGGCAGCTACTGAGAACATAATAAAAGGAAGACCAAGCACAAGAGGAAAATAATAGCAGCAATCGTAGGGGGGGTAAGGATAGGACAAGGAAGAGGAAGGAAAGATCTTGCGAAATAGCATGTAGTGTGAGGATCACATGTCAAATTCCCTACCTGAGTACTCAGTTATTAAAAGCCACATTGCAATTAGTTGATGTGCTGAACAAAAATATAATTGCCTCACAAATTAAGTAAAATTGGAAACAAATGCATAAATAATGAGAAAAGAAATCTAGATTTCAATCCTGAAACAATTTGCAACGTAACATACGTTATTACCAATTTCTCTAAATAAATTATTATTTCAAACTACCTTCCACCGTAAATGTTTCCCTTCTTTCCAGTTTTCATGTCTATCCATACATTTCAAATTCAACTTTTCAGAGAGAAAGTGTATGTGATGATCTGCATTTAATCCCCTTTAATTCCCCCCCTTCATTTTCCTTTTAAAAGTATCACAAGAAATTCAATTAAACATAACCAATAAAACACAAAATATTTTGCAAGCTTTATAGATTCCTACAAATAAAAATCCATGGAATTTTCAGAACTTGACAGACACATTTAGAAGTAGAGATACAGTTTTATAGTACATATAGTAATTTTAACACAGATTTGAGCAATTTAAAGAATTTCACTATTTTACTGAATTTATCGTGCCACATTTCTGCAGAGCTCAGAGAAATTCTGCACAGTAATTATAAGCAAATGTAAGCATTTTAAAAATATTCTGAGAAATAATTTGCACAAATCTATACAAATTTTAAGATGATTTTGTTACAGAAGAGTGTAGAAAATATAATATCAAATTAAGATTGTAATATAAATAAGTTAATAAAACATTAAAAAGAAAAAATATGCATTATATGGCCAAAAAAGCTATTGGCCTAAACACAAGGCTGATTTAAATAAATTATAAAGGCTAAATGCCAGACCCTAGAGGTTGACTTGGAACTGCTTGAGCGAAGCAAATTAACCATACACATATTTTTTCATGAAAGTGTACTGGATTTATTTACCACAACCAATGTTGTTACAGGTACACTGAAGTTGCTTTTATAACAAAAAACATTCAAAACATGGCATGCTTCTACCAGCTTATGTTAAATAGTGAGATTCCAATGCTGACGAAGTTTACACTTATTTTCTACAGTAATTTCTAAATGCATGCTAAATTCACTAACCTTTGAATCTCCCTCTTCCCAGAATGTGTTATCTTCCTTCCATTCACCATCATGAGATGTATCTGCTTTTGCAGCAACTGGAGGAGTTGTCTGCTGCTCTACATCAGGTTCGACTGGAGTAGTCTGTTCTACACCATGTTTCTTAGCTGACCGTCTAGTTCTTGTTGATGCAGTTTGAGATCCTTCTTCAACTTCAGATGAGTTGGCAAGATCAGCTGTAATAACTGCTCCCACTTGAGATGTTTCTTCCAGACTAGCAACCTGTTCCTCTTCAGTATCCTCCTGACTACTTTTCATTGAAGTCTCGTTGTCTTCTGTGCCAGATTCATCTCTGTCTGGGGATGACACAGAACCTTTTCTTCTTCTTGACTGTCTCCGTGATCTTCTTGGTGTCTTTTCTACTTTCTTCTCAGGAGAAGGCTTTTCCTTCTCCTTCGTTCGTTCACTCTTCCGTCTCATTGAAAAAGTTCTTTTACTTTTTAACTTTCAGCACAGTAGGCTACCAACACCTTAAAAAAAAGATGTTAAAAAAACATTTGACCTTATGGTCTGTAGAAAATTCTAAGCAAGAATGAGTTTAATTCCTGTTAGTATATACTGTACAACGCATAGGATATAAACGATGCAATTAATCAAAATGAGCTAATAAATACACACTGTAACATTTCACTCTAGAGCACTGTTTTGCAACGAAGAGTCATATGCACGATAAGGTTTAAGGATTAGGTTATGGTTCCAATATACTTTCACAGACTGGCATAAATAGAATTTTGGCTTACCTCTACAAATGTAATCGGCAATTATTTACACAAGAGCGAAAACAAGAGCAGGAGCATTCAACAACAATATCGCATTGAGAAGCGTCCTGTAACAGATCTTGCAATTCTAACCAAAACACAGAGTTTCTATGCTGAAATCCTTTCAGGTTAAAGAGTAAAACATGGCTTTATAGATTTCATAGAGTAAATAGAGCATACAGCGCGCCCAGCGTCAGATTAGTACAAACACAACGTGCCCCACGTTTACGTACTCCGGTGTAAGAGACACTCGCTGTACTGAGGGATTCTCTTACACCATGCATTGACTCTCGATGTAGCGAGGACAATGAACCAAAGCGAAGAATGAGGGGCGGGAACGGAGGCATGCTTTTTCATAATTCAAACGATTTTTTTTGTCATTTATAACTAAAATATTTAAGATCTATTTTTTCTCTTAGTAAAATATGAACTTTAAAGGTATATTTTGAAATAAAGTCATTTATCATTTTTGGAGATTTTGAGTATTTTCCCCGTACTTTTGCGTGAAATATACGCAACTTTTAATTTTGTTGAAACAATTTTTTCTCAGAAACGGCTCCATCGTTTTTGATTAAATTTTGTTGTTGGATAGTTTGAAGAACGTTAAAGAGAATGTTGTAGGTCATTTGTTGGTTAAAAGCTTCATTTTTCGAAATTTAAAAAAAATCACAATTTCTCCGGAGTCTTCCTATAATTACATTTATAGAGATACAATTTTTTCCTTAATGGAATGGGTTAATAACAGATATTTAAATAAGATCATGCTCAATTTAAAAAAAACATGAGTTTTTTGCAAAATTTTATGTCAAACAGGCAATTTTTATTTCCTTGAAACCACTTTTTCTTATAAACCTAACATTTTTTATGAAATTAGGAACTAAGCATAAAGAACGCTTAGTAGAAAGAAAATAGTGCAGATCTCAAGTTGATTAAAATGCGTAATTTTCCAACAAAAAAAATAATTGAAAAACTTGGCGTCTTTCTGTAACGACAATTGTGAAGATACAATTTTTCAAATGTGTTCATAAAAAGATCTTCAAATGAGGTCAAGTTCAATTTTTGAAAATATGAGTATTTTTGTGAAATTTGGCCACAAAAATTAAATGCCTGTTGGGAATTTTCTGCGCTTCGTAAACGATTCCCGAGTTAGATGCTTCGTAATTTAGAATTTGTATATTATTTAACATTTATTTGTTCGTTTCTTACATTCGATCTGTTGTTATGTATTTACTCATCAGGCGCGGATTCAAGGGGGAGATGAGAAACATTTCCCCCTAAATTTTTTTTCAGTTACTATTAATTTTAACTTGCACGAAACTTTAAAATTAAAATATTTTTGGACAATCATTAAAACGAATAAAATATCGCAGCAAGAGCTGAGTTTAGTCTGTGTCATTCTACATAACCTGTAATATGACACGACAAAAAACATTTTTTGAATAAAAACTGTCTTAATTTATTGATCACACGCGTCACAGTCGGGCATTTACAATTATAGTATCCCTAGGATATGGAAATATATCTAGGGGCGGATTTTGATGAACTAAAACATCGCCAAAAATGATCAACAAAAACATACCATAAAAGCAAAGAAAAGTCTCGTAACATTTTCTATCAAAACAAATTCAAACGCATAACTCAAGCACTTGGATGTGTTACTGATGTAATCGCAATGGCGGACTGAAGGGGGGGGGGGATGCATGTCTCACCAAAAAAGGCCGAGAGAAAAAAATCGTAAAAGTGCAGTAAGAATAAAAATGATAAACACCAAAAAAATTGAAGAAACGTCTCAAATGTATCGATAAAGTAATCGCGCGTTGTCGCTGTCCTTAGCCTATTAGTTACGAATCCTGATTCTGTATTTTAGCCCAGTGATGTTATGTACGGAAAATGTCTTCGACTGTTCTCCAGAGGCGTGTGACAGCTCATATCTCCTTCTTACTCCGCTTGACAAGTGATGTTACGGTGACTTCCACGTATTGGACTGTTGCCGACGCAACCAGTGCCAAGAGAGTGATCGTGGGCCGCTGTGACATTTCGCGCAATTACAGTGTGCCCGAAATAAGAATAAGATCGCTTAATTGCGCCTGGAGACGGCGGCGCGGTTATCTGTGGCGGATTTAGGGGAGGACCTGCCCCCCCGAAAGGCCTCGAGTTTTCGTTTGTTACCTTCTTTTATTTGAAAAAAAAATTAAACATTTATATTAGAATTAGGCAGTTATTTAAAAAGTAATATGGTATAGTATCACATATACATTACAAGAATAATATAAAATATAATAGCAAATGTTTATTATTTAACAAAAAGTATACAATGGCCCCCTACAAAATAATTGGTTGGATCCGCTCCTGGCGGTAATAAGTTCTTAAGAAAAGAAAGAAAATATCTAAAATGAATTAGAAGACAAGAGAAAGAAATCTGATAAAGAGAGTAAGTTCAAGAAACTTGAGACATATTTTGTGTAATCCTGTCAACTTTCTTCGGTCCTGGACAGTAATGTTTGTCGGTAAGCGAATGTTTAAGTTGTAAAATACGTTTAGATGTCATGCAACCATTTGATATCATGCGTTTTTATTTAAATTTAATCTGTTCACATCTGTGTCTTAGAATGGAAAAATTAAATACCCTAATCCTACGTCGTTTTGTAGCACCTTATTCAACGATTTTAATAACAAATTATTACTATTACTTTCTAGCTACCTCTTATGTAGTTGAGAGAAAATTTCTTAATTCTGCGCGAAAAAACGGCGAATTTCCGGCAGAAAAACTCTTATTGCCGGGCCGTAATAACGAAAAAGTAAATGAATCCAAATGCTAAATTTAGAAAAAAAAATCCTCTACCCCATGGTGTAGCCAGTTCATGTTTTGTGGGTTCTTGATACCGAAAAATCAATTGACGGCGAAACGCCCGTCCGTCTGTGAACACCACTAGCGCCTGGACCATACTAGGATTTTTTCAAAATGGGAATTCTCCGGTCGATCTGGCTCAATTCGACACACTGAGATAAAAAAAACACATCCTTTAAAATTTGCGGGTTCTTTACATAAAGCCACGTGACTCTTTCAAATTTTTCTCAAAAATAGTTAAATTTTTGAAAGAATAGGATAATATACCCTCATAATGATGGTATAGGTTCGATTTTCAGGTTAACAGTGAATTATCGACAATTTCACAAGATTGATCTTTTTTGACTTCTTCCTACTATAACAACATTGAAGGTAGAGATTTTTTTCTTTTTATTCTTTTTCGCACAATATTGCGAGAAATATATGCAATTTTAAAAAAAATAACAAAAACAAGATTTTCTCGTAAACGACTCCAAATTTTTTCTTTCAACTTTTCATATTTATACTGCTAATTGTAAGGTTTAAGATGATATAAAATTAATTTCACGGGTTTCTTTTGTTTATTAAAAATTACACACATGTAATAGTTTTGAACTATCTCTCACACCGTAAATTTGCACATTTGTATACACTATTGCATTTGTGACCGGAAGCGCTTCAAACGACTTCCAATAAAGCTTACCGAAAACTCAGAAGATCTCTGTGAAAAAGAGCTTCAAATTTACATTAACGCTTAAACGACATTTTTATAAAACCGGCTCCAAAGTTTTCAACCAAAATTTCTATAATATTCTTAAAGTTATTTTTCGTTTCTTCCATTATGAAACCCAAAAATTGAGCAAATGTGAAAAAAAATATGTTGAGCGGCTATAGATGGCAGTTGAAAAGAGAATGGAACGCGATCCAAAAGATGAAACCGGCCAAAGAAATTAAGAAACTTACTAGTACGAGGAAGTCTGTACCATTCTATAGCCCCACTAGTTTAATTTTAAACCATAAAGTATTCATTAAATGTAAAAATAAATATTTCAATTATGTTAAAATCAATTAAGATAAATAATTCGCGTTGTTTATAATTTATATTATCTTTACACACACACACACATACATATACCTGCCAGAATGTCACCCGAATGTAATACAACGTAATAGATGCATCTAGAATCTTAAAATCCAAGGACCTTCGAAACGGCGTAACTAATTGTTTTCCAACCATTGTCTCGTGATATATATAGGAAATACACTCTTACTAATAATCATACAGGTATCGTCTCATTCCAATCCTTCACACCCAACTCCACATGGAGTTGCTGGAGCATGTGGATGCTGGTGGAGTGGGTCCAGCGCAAGACAATTGTGAGTTGGGCCAAGGCCCAAACGTTAATGAATGAGGACTGGTTGACTTGAACGAACCACGCGCTACAGTCACTCCATGTCCCGCCACCATGTGCTTCCGGCCAAGTTCATGTTAAATTGCTAATTTAAATTGCGATATTGCTAATTCTTCAATGGTCATGATTATACAATGGGCAATTAAAATATTTAGACTTCGTGTTTGTGGGTTTGTGTAAGGTTAGTTCCGTAGTGGGAATTATAAATTATTAATTTTAGGGAAGTGCTGGTCGCAAATAGAGGTTTCATCCGAAGCCTAGTGATGGAAAGTCGTGACGCGATAATATTAGAGCACATGTAGGTATTTTCCGGATAGCGAAATCCCACAACACCTACACAGCGTCGGCGAAACCAGAGAAGATCCCCGGAGCACAGGCGAGCTGAATTACCTACTACCGAAACAGCGCTATCTGTTAGTTGCTGCCTACAGCGCGACGGCGGCGAACTTCTAGCTCACGAAAAACGCCGAAGAGTTCGTCGTGACGTCACGCTTCCTATTACATAGCGGAGCAGCTGACCGATCACCCTTCTGTATGAGACGCCGAGGTGAGAGGTCCAGTGCGGTCAGCTAGAGCGGTAGAGAGAGCAGTCTTTTGATGAGAGACGTCGAAGTGTTCGGACGTGCGTAGAGAGCTATGAGTGAGGATTGAGCGAGCAGAGTGAGTGATCAGGGAGGATTGTGAGATGCTATTTTGCAGAAAGTACGATGAGAAGTAATTGTTCATGCGAAATAATAGTCGAATAGTGGAAGATTCAGCCTACTGAACTGTGATTAACTAGGCGAAGTATAATTTCAGAAAGACTGTGGAAAGTAGTGGAGTAGCTAGTACGAGGCGGAATATAAGCTGTCGCAAGGCGTCAGTAGAAACGTGCAGTTAGCTAAACTAGTAAGAAGTGTTGTTAAGAACGCCAAAAAACCGAAACGCCGTTAGAAAACACGCGTAAGGACTTTGAAAGACGCGTCGGCGTGCCGCATTGGAAGAGTGGCGGAGA